ATGACTTGACATGAAACAACACAACAGAGTGGCAGTACATTCAGGCAGAAATTGCTGGCTTGGGCTCTTGACATCGGTTTAGGCCATGACTGGAAGGGGCAGAATCAAGTTTATTGGTTCTCTCAGTGACATAATTGCTGCAGGCTATATACCAAAAGGATAAACAAGACGACTAGGCAGGAAACTGCTACCAGGTCATCAGCTGGTCCTGTTTTCCATCCCTTACCTAATTATGCCTTTCCCTTTCTTCTGCCTGCCTTTTCAAGAGAATTCCACAGCTGGTACTCCTGGCTACGTTTGAACACAAGGTTAATTCCTCGTCCTTGCACTCCTTTCCAAAAATGAGAGGCTTGCGTGTTGCATGGAGCTCCTGCTTTGTTAAAATTTTCCTGTTCATTGTGAACACAGACACCTGTTATAGGTCAGCCAAGTGCTTTGTCTTTACTTTCCACGCTGTGTTCACAGCTCAATGTAGACCTTGGAGCTGCTGAGAAGTAGCGGGTATGTATGCGCTCCTACCGCTTCTGTACAGGTCACTGGAGTTACGTGGAGTTACTGTGTGCTGCACCAGGAGAACCCATGGCCATGCCATCTGGATTCAGGTCATCTATCGAACCTCTGATTTGATTGGTGTTGGTGGCAGCTTGGCACGTGCATGTATGTTCTGTACTTCAGCTGAGAAGTCAGGAGGGTGGATTGTTCTCTGAGGTTAATGCCAGCAGCTCAGCTGTGTCCTCACAACGCAGAACCGGAGTTCCCATCCTTAAATGTAATTAATGATTCCCTCATAGGAGTATTCAACACTTGCTCAATTACCTGTTATTTAAGAAAGGGCCACAAACAGCTGACAGTAAATATTATTATAAGCAGCAGTAAAATGTAGATGTACATCGATATGGGTGTGATAGAGGGGACTGCCACTGGAGCAGGTCCAAAGGAGGGCAACAAGGCTTGTGAAGGGCTTGGAGAATATGCCCTATGAGGAGAGACTGAAGGAACTGGGGCTGTTTAGTGTGGGGAAGAGGAGGCTGAGGGGAGACCTTTACTGCTCTCTTCCAATACCTGAAAGGTGCTTACAGTTAGAGCGGGGTTGGTCTCTTCTCACTGGTGACAGGTGACAGGACAAGAGGAAATGGCCTCAAGTTGCACCAGGGTAAGTTTAGGTTGGATATCAGGAAACACTTCTGTACAGAAGGGGTTGTAAAGCACTGGAATAGGCTCCCCAGGGAGGTGGGTGAGTCACCATCCCTGGATGTGTTTAAAATCCGTTTGGATGTGGTGCTCAGGGACATGATTTAGCAGGGGGTTGTTGGAGTCAGGGTAGTATGGTGAGGTTGGAACTGGAACGTGTTTTAGATAGCAGTCTTTCTTGATCCTTTCCATCATGAAGTTGGGCTGAAGCCTACACCTGCTCTATGCTTGGGAGTGTAACTTTTCCAATATCACACTGTACATGCACAGCAGGAACTTCCAGACAAGATAGTGCAGTTCCTCTACCTGCTCTGAGTGAGGGCAAGCCACCCTTCTTGCTCCAGTTCACCCAGCGCTCAGGAAGGGAAGGAAGCTCTGCAGTAAATCTGAATGTGAGAAGTCATGGTTTGCTGTAGTTAAGTAGGTTTGGGCATTTGGAACGTGAACGTGCAAAACCATGTAATCGGGTAAGGGATGAAGTTCAGATCTGGTATTTAATGAGAAAGGAATTCTTCTTCAACATTACCAAGTGTTATATTGGAAAGCAAAGCCCTAAGAAGATTACAGCTATTTCCTGCATACAACCACAGGGCTTCTTTGTTCAGGACAATGAGCAACTGATGCTTTTAATGCTACTTGTTTTCAGATCTTCTGTCCTTTTTTTTTTTTTTTTTAATCCAAATAATCTATTGCTCTTTTCCATTACGTTTTTCTCAGATAGCTGGGAAGATCCTTCTCAAGTTGTGGCTAGTTAGGCTTTTTAAGGGTTCTCAGTAACTTCTCAGTGTGCAAACACCAGCTGGATATTTGAACTAGATCAAACAGGAGAGGAGTGGAAATAGTGGTATGAGATGCTGATAAGAACTGAACTGTGTCTGATGAGCTGTGGAAGTTCGATAATGTCTTTCTTTGCCCCGGGCATTCTGTGTATTCCCTACTATAAACAATAAAGATGTTTGTGTTTGCAACCTAATATCGCTTTTCTGTTGCAAGATATCATAGGTGTTTAAACCAAGTTCAGTGTTTGCAAAGAAACTGAATTTTGTTCATCCATTGACCTCCTGTTTTCCCTAAGCAAGAATGGGATCACTAAGTGAAAGCTGTTATTCCCACCAGGCTAACCCACACACATAGGACCCACTGACTTCTGCAGCACACTCACAGTACCAGAAGCCGTGTATGTTTTTGAAGCTGGGAGCAAAGAGGTTCTTCAGTTTTGTTTGTTTTTCATAAACAAAATTCACATTCAGATTTGTGCAGTGCTTAGAAATGTAACTTTTTTTAAATTCACTGTTTAGGTGTTCTGAACCATCTGATTAATGAAATAAACCTATCAAATTCACATCTATTAAAAATATTAAAACCAAGCCTGCTTCTCTTCTTATGGGACAAGAAAATGTATTTAAATGCTACATGATTATGTCTACTCTGAGCAATGGAAGCATAGTAAGCTGGCATCTTACCAGTCGCAGCCACAACATTACAAAGTAGTTTTTAAATTGGTGCTCAGATCTAAAGATGCTTATAGTGCTGCAGCTGCATTAAAGAGGAACTATCCACTTTCCCAGAAGTTTTTTTACCCTCATTGGTTTAAAGCCATCAAATGCAGAATTACCATCTCACAGGTAGACAAAAGCCTGCAGACATCCAAAAGTCGGTCTTGGGAATTACTCTGTGGGACCTCTCACTGCTTCAGCACTCACCATTTCAAAGCATCATTAGAAGAGGAAGAAGTTGTATTAACCAAATGCTTACCTCAAAATTATTCTGTTCATAACATCACAGGAGACTTATCTCCTATTTAAGCATATTCCACGCAATAGAATCATAGAATCACTGAAGTTGGAAAAGACGTCTGCAATCATCTAGTCCAACCATCAAACCACTGCCATGCCTGCTAACCATGTCCCTCACTGCCACATGCTCACAGTTCTTGAACACCTCTGGGGATGTGAGTCTGTAGAGAGTAATAAGGTCTCCCCTGAGCCTCGTCTTCTCTAGGCTGACAATCCCAGTTCCCCCAGCTGCTCCCCATCAGACTTGTGCTCCAGACCCCTCGCAGCTTCATTGCCCTTCTCTGGACACACTGCAGGGCTTCAATGCCTTTCTTGTAGTGAGGGGCCCAAAACTGAATGTAGCACTCAAGGTGCGTCATCACCAAGGCCAAGTATAAAGATGATCACCTCTCTGCTCCTGCTGGCTGCATTATTTCTGATACAAGCCAGGATGCCCTAGGCCACCTGGGCACACTGCTGGTTTTTATTCAGAAGGCTGTCAACTAACACTTCCCAGACCCTTTTCCTCTGCACTGTTTTTTAGCCAGCTGCTGTACTTCCACAGCAAGCCACCTGTAAGTCAGTTATAAAATGATCTGAGTTTGCTTGGTTTTAAAACTGCTTTCTAGGAGTTTCCTTCAAGGTTACCATGACCAGCCTACAGGGAACACATTAACCTAGAGCAGGGAGCCAAGAGCAGCAAGAGGTTTATTCTCCATGGAAGTATTAAGACAAATACACATAAAATCTTGTCAGAAGATAAAGGTTAGCTCCTTTTCAACCCAGGAACAAAATTTGAGTAAAATCAGCTTGATGCTTCCAGTGTGAATGTAGCAGCTTTGATTGTAAGTTCTCAGAAGAGTCCACCTGCATAAATATTCTGGTAAGGATTTACCAAGAATCGCTGCAAGCTATGGCTCCAATTTACAATTTATGGTGGAAAATGAAATTCATACTACACTCCTCAGGAGTATAACAGTGACTCGATCAGAAAGAAGCAACCCAAGGCATGACAGGTAGGTGAGAACACCTCTCTTTGTGAATTTGATGTTGTACAAACATTTATCTGGCTATCTGATACGGCGGCATTAAGGCAGCACTTGGAGGAGTTCTGGGGCTTGAGTCATGTGGAGCATGGAAGTTGCTCAGTGCAAAAGGATGAATGAACCCCAGAGTGCTGTGTCGGAACAAGAACGGTACAACTGAAGTCTGAACAGGAAGCTAATAAGCTTTAAAGCTGATTAACATGGAGTTTTTTTGTGCTTCTTGTTGCTGTTGTGTAATAAACAATCGTATAACATGTGCTTCTGCTAAGGCAAAGCGACAAAGTTGCCAGAAGGAAATGGTGGCAGACTGTTCTCTGCACCCACAGGGAGAAATAAAAAGACTTAAAGCAAGAAATGATTCTAACTGATGGCAGAGAGCACTTTTATCAGCAGGCATCCTGGCTGCTGGGGGCATTCCTGACTTCTGAGAAAACAGGGCAAAAATTACTGAGTTAATGATGTGGTTTTTGCTCTCACTTTCATTTATAGTACAGCTCTGGTAAACTGTACTCAAATCGTGGTAAAGACAAAATGACCAGAATTTTTAAATGATGTCAACTTGTTACAGAGTATTCCGGAACAAACTCCATTTGGAAGCCTGCTCCAGAACCACACTTCCAGCTGCCAGGCTAAAGTGATTCACTACTCACGTACAAATCCCTGTTCTGGTGCCAAAGCTGTCCATGGCATGATTACCTCTCCGCCTCTCTGCTATTCATTCTGCTGCACGCTGCTGTCCTCTTTCCATCTTTCCTTTCAGGCTAAACGGAATGAACAGCTCTGTCTTCTCCAAGGTAGAGGGCTTCTACTGCACTTGATATTTCTCTGTATCTACTAAAAGTCTGAGTTAATTCACCCTGAGCATGGGTAATTAAGACACTGCCATCATACATGTGCCTTTTTCATGAGAACACAGAGGTTTGAGAGCATTCACTGAAGGTAAGACCAATGCAGATGTTTTCTGGTGTAAAATAAAGACACGTAAACATAAAAAAAACACTTTTACTAGCACATGCTAACAGTTTTTTTGCAAAGATTTGGCCAACTGAGAGTAGTAACAGTAAAAACCAAACACGTGCATTGCTTACATGGAAGTCATTCCCCCAGCCCAAACTTCTCCCACAGTGCCACAGTGACAAAATGACCTCACAGAGCCATCTCTGAGAGCAGTTGGATGTGGGTGCAACACCACTACATCCCAACCCTGATTTTAAAGAAGATGCACTCCACTGAATTAAGTTCCCCAAAGAGAATCAAACCTCGAGCCCAACAGGAAAAGATTCAGCCTAAATACAGTTAAAGTTTGTCAAAGTTAGACAGTTAGAAACAGGGAGAAAAACTTGGCGGCATCGGGGAAAGCCCTGATTGCTGTTCACTAACACCAAGAAACAGCGTGCAGGTCATCAGCAGGGCACAACAGCTTGGTGATGGAAGCCACACTTGCCTGGTGCCAAAGACAGCATCACTGGCAGGCAGTACCTCAAGTCCCATGCTTGCAGAAACCACCACTTCAATGCCTTTGGGTCTACAGAGCTCTGTTCCTCGCCAAAATGTTGTCCAATTGCATGACCATAATAAACCCAGGAGTTCTGCACTGGTTTTCATAATCTGGCTTACTGAAAGCTGCAGTAGTGATGTGTGAAGAGAATTTCATGTAGAAACTCAGAACTTTTCACCATATTCAGTGAACAGGGACAGCACCAAGCAGAGCAATGCAACACCACATCTCTTCCATAAGTGACTTTGCCACCATTCTCCACGACCACTCCAGCATTCCTCGGTGGATTCTGCATCAGCGAGAGCTTTGTGCTGGCAAACAGAAACCAAAGAAATAAACACCTCAGTGCAACGAAAACATTTCCATGGTATCTAAAGTATGTGAGTACACAGCGTGGGGATCTGCAAGTGACGTGTCAGCACGTGTAAGTAACACACAAGGGGCTGTGTGTTTCTTCACTCTGCGCTTTCACTGCTTCTCACAAGCATGTCACTGCAGTTGTTGCCCAGCAGTTTAAGTACAGATATAAGATGGGAACAGAGCAATTAGCAATTCCAGCATGGAAATACCTCGCTTAGAGCAAAGCACTTTACATACGATTAGAGGACTCAAGTTTCTACCTCCCTTAAGGCAAACGCACCATGATCAAAAAATAAACCAGTAAAAAGTAAAACCAGATGACATAAATAATGGTGTAAGCATTTGTCAGTTTTGTTCCCAGTTCCAACTACGACTTAACAGATTAAACCTGTTAATTCATTACATGGAACGTGACACAAGCATAGACTGTTCCCAAATCTCAGTCTAAACCACTAAAGCTCTGCGGCCCAGCACCAACTGATTCCCAGCCTGCCAAGTTCAGCTCAGCTGCTGCATGCTTACCGGTCCCCTGTGTTCTAGAAGATGCCCAGCACAGCAGCAGAGCTCATTAACCACGCCACAGAAGAGCAGCCACTGCCAAAATGCAGCTTAACCCTGGCTGTCCTGCACCCAACACCCAGCAGGCTGGGTGCCCTTCCAGAGAGCTCTTCCCACAAAGCTCCAGCACCCACCCCCAACCTCACACATTTCTTCTGTCCTTTCAGGCACAGACCGATGCTGTTGTTTGACACTGCAATGTTTTTCCTACAAGGTTCAGGTTACCAGGCCAACAAGGATGTGCTGTAAACATCCGTCACAATGCTTTAGGAGCAAAGTAGGTGGTGAGCCTCAGCTGTTCTCCTGGGATGGTGGCATTGCAGCAGGTCCTGCCCGGGCTGAAGTGCTGCAGTCACAACATCTGCCATTGAGCAATTGCTGTCTAACCCTTGGTGCTCTTGCACATCCTGCACTCTCACTGCTACTTCTTCATTTTTCAGTTTTGTTTGTTCCCCGCTGATCTTTTTACAGGGCCTTCTAATAAACTCTCATGCCCTGAACACAAAACAGAAATTGCACTTGCTGTATTTTTATACACTTTGCAGAACAGAGCCCTTCTCATGATACACACACACACAAAAAAAGACAAGAACTAGATCGGGTCTTAGGAGAACAGCTTGGGGTGAGAAAAAAACTCAATGAACCACTAACAAAGAGAACAGGAAACTTCTGTGGAGAAAAAATAAATCTTGATACAGAAAACACATCTGTCTAGTGTGGGAACTGTTTCAGAAAACAGACTAGTTTACAATTAGTGGATTTTATCAGCAATAAGCATGAATTTTGGTTGGACAACAACACTTCTCACAACAAACCAGTAAAAGTGAACCTGAGGGTGTGTTTCCCACAGCTCCTTGTGTCACACCACTGCATCCTGAGCTGGCACGATGAGGTTCTCTGCCAAGTGAAGTGAGTGCTTAACAGCTGCACCGTACAGTTCCTAGGCTGCAACTTGCTGAACGCAGACCAGCACAAATAGCATGCTCCTGATTGCATCTGTGTCAATGCTAATGGCACTGCTCTTGGGTGGGAAGGCCAAGGAAGAAAAAGAGCTACAGTAAATTACGGTTGGCCCTAACACACTGACATGTTTTACAGCGCAACACCCAAAGCATGAAAAACTACAATGCAATGCAAACGTGTCTTGTAAGATAACGTGACTTCTTTGAGCTGCCTTTGTTTCCAGCACTTTATATAAACACAGCTTTGTTCTGAGCCTGGATTATCCTCCATCTGAAGCTCATGTTCTCACTTTGTGCTTGAGGATTGTATGTCAGCATCTCCACAGCCTTATGTACTCCCAAGGTACCATTTAGCTGCTGTCAGATCAGAACAGACGCAAGAGCAGTTCCTAAAAAGTTACAGTGAGTGCCCACAAATCTTCAACCTTCTGTCCCCAAGTAAGCAATGGAAAAAAAGAGACTTGCATGCACACACATGCACACCCTCCTCATACGAACCCCAGAACATCTACAGGAAAACAACATCTGAAAACCCAAAATGAAACTTAAGGATGTGTTGCTTTTTTTTTTTTTTTTTTTTTTTTAATAAATACAGACTTTTAGTTGGGGACTTCTTTTGCCAGGATGGATTGCTCAGCCTTGCGTGGCAGTGTTTGCTCTGTCCACATGCAGGAGCTACAGCTGAGAGGATGTTATCGCTGGGAGGGGATGTGAGCATGGGAGCTCTGCAGCTCATTGTCTCAGCCAGGAAGCTGGGATAGAAAAGCATTCTCTCAGCTGACTGAGAAAACAAAATGGAAATGTCAAGCATTCACCTCCCAGATAATGTCACTTCTAAAGGAATCTGCAAAAAGCACGTTCGCCACTGGTATCACACCTATCAGTTTCTTAGAACACTTCTCTTTAAAAAAGGATTACAGTCTAGTTTAGAAAAGTGCAGACTTTCTGGAACAGATGTCCTCAAGACACAGAAGCAGACAAATGCTCATGTTGCTCCTCCCAGTGCTCGGAGGGCACAGCTGCAGGTGGGAGCTGAGGGAGGTACGGGCAGTGCCTGTAGGGTAATTAGACCATAGGCAGAGCGGCTCCTGCCAGGCATGGGCAGCCAAATCCCACAGGGAGTTCCACAAATTCTTTCTTCACGTGTTGTAACAGTGTGTAACCAGATGTGTTTTATGCTCTGGAAAGGGCGATGCTCTTGCATGAGTTTTCTGAGTGTTTGCTCAAAGTCTTTATCAATTTAATACAAGTTTTAAGAACTTACAACTCTTGGTACGTCAGTTTCATGTCCAGTAGGCCTTGGAGCTCGATGCTGTCCAGTGAGGACCTCTCCTACCAAAAACCTCAGAACTCTCAGAAGCGCATCCCTGCTGTCCCCTCAAAGCTTGGCGGCCGTCCCCAACGCTCCTTCAGAGCAGACGCTCAGATCTTGCCGCCCGACGGCCACGCCACACACGGCCTCCTCGCCCCTCGCTGGCTGCCAGAGGATCTCCATCCATCCTCTACCGCCGCTCCCCGGCGCTGAGCGGGTACGCGAGCAGGCTCATGGCCTCGCCGCACGCCGCCTCCACCTGCCGCACCTGCTGGCGGCTGAGGCGCTCCCTCCAGGCGTGCACGGCCTCCCGCGCGTCGCGGGCGGAGATGAGGAAGGGCCGCTCGGAGGAGTAGGCAGCGCCGCGGGTCATGTTGACCACGAAGGCCTCCATGGCGGGAGGCACGGGCAGGCCGGCGAAGCGCAGCAGGCGGCGCAGCTGCGCGCGGGGTTCCCGCACCAGGTCTTCGTAGCGCAGCTGCGTGTAGCGGCGGCGCAGCGCGGCGGGGTTGCGGCGGGCCAGCAGCAGGTCGCGGAGCCACGCTTGGCAGATCACCTCCAGCGCTCCGCCGAGGAAGAACTCGGCGCGGTGCTGCGCGGGGGCCCGCCCGGCGCCCAGGAGCCCCAGGCCGGGCGGGAGCGGAGGCTGCTGCGGGCGGGGCGGCCCGCGGGGCTCGGAGCGGTGCCGGCTGCGCAGCACCTGGATGCTCTCGCGGAGCAGCGCCTGCTTGGCCTTCAGGCGCGAGTTGTGGACGGCGCGCGGGTCGCGGAAAAGCTGCACCACGCGCAGGTTGAGGCCGGGCTCCCGCAGCAGCGGCAGCAGCGCGCCCAGCTCCAGCAGCCGCACGTCCTTGATGACCACCACCGGGTACTTGCGGCACTCGGCCTCCAGCTCGCGCAGCGCCCGCGGCGGGCAGCGCTGCTCGCAGGCGGCGCCGTCCACCAGGCCGATCTCGCGGCGCGGCCGCGGCGCGGCGGGGCAGAGCGGCGCCGAGCAGATCACCTTGTTGGTCCGCCAGCCGAAGATGCCGGCCGTGGTCAGGTTGGCGGCGGGCGGCGCGGCGCCCAGCGGGTCGCGAGGGGCGGCGGGGGCGGCGTAGAGGCGCAGCACGGAGAAGTCGCAGCGGAAGAGAGCGCGCAGCATGTCGCGCAGGGCGCCCTGCAGGCTGAGCGCGTCGCCGGGGTACAGCGCCTGCCACAGGTGCCACATGGGCTCGTAGAGGTAGAAGACGTCGGGGTGCTGGTTGAACAGCTCCCCCAGGAAGGACGAGCCCGTGCGCCAGGTGGCGTGCAGGTAGATGTGCCGCTTGCCCGCCCCGCTGCCGTTCCCCGCCGCCGCCGCCGCATCCTCGTCGTCGTCGTCGTCGTCGCCGGGTGGCGGCGGGCGCTGCTCCCAGCCCCACTCGCTCAGCGCCTCCTCCAGGCTGGGGCAGCGCCGCAGCAGCGGCTCCTCGTCCGCCCGCGCCCGCCGGGCTCCGTAGTCCAGCACGTAGGGCACCACCAGCAGCAGCAGCAGCGTGTAGAGCGCCAGCAGCAGCGCCAAGCGGCGGTGCTCCCCCCGCCAGCACCACCGCCGACGGCCCTTCATGGCGGGGGGGAGCGGCCCGAGAGCGAGCGGCCGCCGCCGCGCCGGCTCTCGGCGAAGGAGCCGAACGCTCGGCGGCGGGGGTGTGGGCTCGGGGCGGCCCTCCCGCCGGGAGCACTCCCACGGGCACGCCGGCCACGGCCGCCGCCTCACGGCGCCGCGCGGAACCGCCGCACCTGCCCCCGCCGACCCGCCTGAGGCGCTGCCCCGACCTCGGGACTGTGCCGAGCCGCGGGGTGCCTCCTCGCCGTCTTCTCGCTGCCCCAACGTTCGTCCGGCGGGAGGAGCGCTGCGGCGCTCTCCTCAGCACGGGGGGAGTGTCGGCAGGAGCTGAGGAGGCGGGCTGGGTTCTGCGGGCTCTGTTAGCTGTCCAGAGAGAGAGCGCGCCGCAGCGATGGGAAGAGTGCGAATGCTTATTTAGAGGCGGGGCCGGGTGAGAGGCGGCTTTTCCAGTCTGCAGAAGTTTCAGCCGCGTTTTTGTTTCGGTGCTCGCGGCGGCTGAGCGCGGACGTCTGTGCCTGAAGTGGGCACCGCCGCGGCACGTCCGGACCTCCTGGTGTCCCCTCGTACCCATGTCTGGTTAACTACCCGGGGACACGGTGCTACCTCCCCAGGCTTAGGATGTCACCTCTTTTAGGCTACTAAGAACAGATTAAATACATCTCTTCATTCGAGATGGAAGTCAATGAGATGTTGACTTCGTGGGAACCTGCTGTATGCAGCTGAGGGTCGGAGCAGATGATCTGCAGAGATCCTTTTCCAACCCCTGCAGTTCTGTGATTCAAGTGCTTTAATTCCAACACTCGGCATCAAAATGTGCAGCACACCTCCAGGTGCTCACAGGTGGATCCCAATCCCGTGTTCCTGGTTAAGGTGAGCATCTGGCAGGAAAGTGACATCCCTGTCGTGCCAACTGCGTGGCAGTGGATGGTGTCCCAGAAAAAGAACAAGATTTAAGCAAGGCACACAGTGAAATTCAGTCACAATAACACAGCTCTCACATACATGATGTTTTCACCTCCAGAGCAGTCTCAGCATTGTGTGTTCACCTGTGGTGAGGAACACGGCATAGCATTAATCACCAACGTCACACATAGCTGTGTGGAAATGACACCTTACCTATAGATGTTCTAAGAATGCTCTGTGTACAGTGAAAGTGTATAGATACAGAGCTTATAACTGCTGTGCATTTGTCTGCCTGGATGTGTAGGTATAATATATGTATTTTAGAATCACAGAATCATAGTTGAAAAGGACCTGGGTTGAAAAGGACCACAATGATCATCTGGTTTCAACCCCCTGCTATGTACAGGGCTGCCAACCACCAGACCAGGCTGCCCAGAGTCACATCCAGCCTGGCCTTGAATGCCTCCAGGGATGGGGCATCCACAGCCTCCTTGGGCAACCCGTTCCAGTACCTCCAGAGGTCACCACCCTCTGTGTGAAAAACTTCCTCCTAATATCTAACCTAAACCTCCCCTATCTTAGTTTAAAACCATTCCCCCTTGTCATATCACTATCCGTACTTGTAAACAGCCATTCCCACTCCTGTTTATATGCTCCTTTCAAGTGCTGGAAGACCACAGTGAGGTATCCTCAAAGCCTTATCTTCTCCAAGCTAAACAAACCCAGTTCTCTCAACCTTTCTTCATAGGAGAGGTGCTTCAGCTTTCTGATCATCTTGGTGGCCTTCCTTATTTCAGATTTATTGGGTTACGTAAGAGGGATACAAAGTGATGCGGAAGAAAAGTCATCTGTCTGCCCTACCCAGGTGGGGAGCCAGCCACCTGCCTGCTAACACTCTCCTCTGCTAAATAAGTGTTAAAGACTTGGCTTCCCACAGTTTATAGTGTGCCGAGTGAGGAGATGGAGCCAAACAAGGCTCCTGGGTTCCAGAGCAGAATAATGTACAAAAATCTGAAAGGAAATTCTGCCCCAACATATATTTCCCTATTTAGGTTCACTGTGGCTTTGGGCTTTTTAAACAGCAAGCTAAATCAGTCTAAGCATCATCTCCTGCTGTGTTACAGCCAGAATTTCATTTAGAACTTCTTAAGTATGGGAGGATGACAGAATAAAAGCACTTTTGTCAATACTAGGCCATGGACTTGCTGAAAAACCTTGACCTATGCGAAGTATGTGCTCATCTAGTATTTCAAGGAGCTCTAGCACATTTGACTTGTGTGGCATGGTAATAATTTTGGAGGATTTATGAACTTACCAAGATGCAGGTGAAAATGGATAAATGTACCTACTGAGGTTGTCCCTTTGTAGGACATGTAGTAGTAAGACAGCCTGCTAGATCTATGAGAGACCATAGAAATAAAAATACACATGCATTGCACTGAACTTTCAGACAATGGAGCTACAAACGTTTGTGGCAACTGTTCTGGAAAACAGAAGGCACAAATCACTTTACCACAGACTACGTTTTCACTAATATAAAAACATAGGAAGTTCTTGAAAGACTATCAAACCAAAAAAAGAATCACAACAAATGCTTTGTCCTGTGCCTTCATAGTGAGGTTCCTGTGTTGAAGCAGGATCATCCTGAAAATGGTCACTTCAGTCCTTTTAGGTTTGAGCTTTTTTGGAGTGGAGAGAGAGCAGGAGTCCAACACAGCTAGCATCATAGAGTATTGTTGGAAGGGATACTTAAGGATCATCAAGTCCAACTCCTTTCTCCACACAAGGCCACCCAAAAATCAGACCATCTGTCTGAGCACTGTCCAGATGCTTCTTGAACTCCAGCTTGGCGCAGTGACCACTGCCCCAGAAAGACTGTTCCAGTACCTGACCACTCTCTGGTGAAGAAACTTAGGATTCTAAAAGAGCTTGAGAACCTCAGAGAGCTGGGAGGAGGTCAGCCCAGGCTTGTCTTGGCTTTCAGTTTGATTTGAATTTGTTCTGTCTTCAACACTAATAGTAGTGATAAGGGGGATAATCTTCCCCAATAACCTTTTTTTTCCTATGATTCATAAAGACACTATTTAAATAGATGATCTTCGTTTCCTTCCAAGAGCGTGATAACTCAGTGTGTGAGAAAGGCAGACAGATTCTTTGTTCATACGTGAAGCAGCTTGGCTGACATCTGACTTCTGCCTTCTCTGTTCTTGGTGATAATTCTTTGCTTCATGCTATTTTATAAAGAAAAAGAGGGACAGAGTAGATATGTTCTGCATAGTTTAGTGTAGCAGTATTTCCATTCTGGTTTCCAAGTTTGTCACTGAAAGCGCTGTCTGTTTTTAACCTGATGTAGCATTGGCTTCCTGTGTATTATCTCTCTAACTTGATTTTTGCTCTTCCGTCTCCCACAGCTCTTCAACTGACAAGAAAGCCTGTAAATGTTGGAACACAGCACTTCAGCCCCAGAATCATTTTTATCTTCTCAGCAGAGGTTTTAAAATAGAACTAGTTGCCTCTGTATCTGTTCATTTTTTGGATCATGCATGCTCTTGTCATTTTGAAAGAGCACTTTGTGATTAAAAATAGCTTGATTATCTGATAAAATTAAATGTGCTTTGCAAGAGGAGCATTGGCCTCACACATCCTGGCTGCTAATGAGCACCATGCTTGCAAACATTGTCACTTACAGACTTCAGCCAAAAGGAAGCCCGTAGTTAACTACAGCTTTCAAAGCTTAAGGAAGCCAACAAGCTAGGACAATGTTTTTGTGTAACTTCTTTTTACTTTTTTGAAGGTTCTTTGTCATCAGGGGTTTCAACATGTGAGGCACTACATACTTTGCATACAGGACCAGTCCTAATGGGTCATGGTTAGGAAGGAGTGCAAAGAGAGTAGCAGGATGCCTGGTGGCATGAGAGCCAGGTGGATCAGCACGGGGGTTTGCTGCAGTGGAATTTCCCTGAAGCAGAATAGAGGCAGAGTCTGCAGGAGGCCTGAAATACTGTAGCGTGTTGGGGAGACTAGGTGGAGAACTAGAGGAGATGCTGAAAGTGGAAAGTGAGAGAAAAGGAGTAGCAGAAAGGTGAAGAGACTGTAGCAAAGGGCTACGGTACTGGCTGAGAACTGGTAGAGTCATAAGGAAAGTTTTAAAAAAGAAAATAATGATTCATTTTCTGACATCAGCGATCTTGTGAGCTCCTCTTCCTGTAAGAAAGGAAGAAAGATAATGTCCTCATTGAAAGTGATGGAAGATGCTATCAGAAAATAGAACAAGAAAATGCAGGAGGTGGAAGGCAAAGCAAAGCAAGATGCGTATTGGTGGAGGTTCAACAGGAAGGTCAAAGGAGAAATCTGTTATTTCTTACAGTGGAAATTCAGGAAAACCAGTTAAGTAGAAATGAAAAAAGAATGAGCACGTATTCTGTGCTCAAAATCAATGCTAATACAGCTTGAGTATTTCCATGAATGAGTCTAATTTGAGGTACTTAAGGTTCTTCATAGCAGAGTATGATGCCCTATTATCCCATTAACAGCAACAGAGTAACCTTGCAGCCCAGCATCTGCTGCATGCATAGCCAGCAGCTCCTGAAAGCCTCTCCGTGCCCGACAGTTTGCAGTATCTGCTGAACAAGAGTTATTCTAACAGGAACATGTTTAGGGTCTCACCTCAGCACTAAAATGGATTTGATACCATAACTGATAATGGCAGAAGCCACAAATCTTTTTCTGTTTTCTCTCAATGTTGCAGACATGCTATTGCTGAATTAGAGATGCTGATGAAGAATAACAGCAAGCTTTTGCAACTCAAGTTAAACCATTGTGTCTGTATAATTAGGGAAACAAATCTTTTACAGTTCAGTCAAGTGAAAAATTGAGACTATTTTTAACAGGGGATTTTTTTTTCCAAAAATTCCTCTGACAGCTATTGCTACAAAATACCTGTAGGTCTTCTGTGCTTTGTAACTCAACACTTTCATGGACAGTATACAATATATCAGGCATTTGATAGCCACTCTTTGTGTAGTCAGAATTGAAGAGGCAGTAAGAAGTAAAACTTGCAGTATGTATCAGCAGCTTGGCAGAAAACACAGAGGAGG